TCGGCCCTTCTGCTGACTCCTGGGCTCCCCGCAGTCCCCCGAGGCAGCGCAGGGCCCATGTCTGGAGGCTAGGAGCCCTAGCCATATGCTGAGGCACAGCATGTGCCGAGAACAGGAGGCCTTTGTACGGCAGTCGCAGGTGAGTCCTGGGCCCAAGAGACAGAGAGGGACACGGGAGAGCCGGGCAGGGGTGCCCACGCATTGGTTCTGCCCCCAGAACGAGCTGCAGCAGATCCGTCTGTCCTTCGAGAGGAAGAAGATGGCCATCACCGAGGTGCCCGCCAGCCTGGGGTGGAGGGGCAGGCCCCACTGGGTGGGAGCTGCTCCCCCAGTGTGAGACCCTGCCTGTCCCTGACCAGGTGTGGGATGGCGTGGCTGAGGTGCACATGGCCCTGAGCAACCAGGCCACCGGGCTGCTGGTAGGTCCCCGGGGACCCAGCCTGAGGCAGGGCGGGCCTGGGCGAGAGCAGGGGGCGTCGGACCGGACAGGGGGTGCTGACTGGAGGGCGCGCCCTCCCCTCCAGAACCTCAAGAAGGACATCCGGGGCGTGCTGGAGCAGATGGAGGACATCCAGCTGGAGATACTAGGGTGACATACGGGGCTTCAGGCTGAGAGACTGTGCCAGGAAAGGGGTGCTTGCTCAGAATGGGGGCACTCAATCAGAAAAATGGTGCTTGGTCAGGACTGGGAGTCAGAAAAGGGGTTCTTGGTTAAGATTTGGGGTGCTGTCAGCATAGGGAGGTGTTCAGTCAGGAATGCGAGAGTGCTTGGTCAGGATAGGGATGCTCTGGTCAGGATGGAAGGTACTCCAGTCAGGGTTTGAGCATTTAGAATTGGGGTGCTTGGTCATGATTGGGGCACCTGGTCATGATGGGGCAAGTGATCTGGTCAGGATGGGGGTGCCCTGTCAGGACGGGGAGGGCCCGCGGGCCATGCTGTTAACAAAGGGGAAGCCAGGCTTGGGGGTCATGACCCTGACATTACGGCTCCCCAGGGAGCGTACCCAGTGCCAGTCCCAAAGCAAGAGCAAAGAGCCATTACCCTGCACAAAGGTGAGTTCCCACCTCACGCCCATTGATCCCACACTGCAATCACGGGGGGGGGGCGGGGTGGGGGGGTGCCTTTGCAGGGAGGGGGAAAAGGGACCCTCTGGAAAGCCAGGGGACCAGAACCACCCTGGTGCTCATCATGGGGACACAGAGGTGGGGAGACACGCAAATGGGAGGGCACAGGGGGCTAGCCCCTGCCTTGACCAGCTTGGAGTCCTCTCAGCACTGCCCCTTACCCAAGGCTGTCTCTGATCCGGCCCCCTTCCCAGCAAAAGCCGAAGCCACAGGTCGGCTGTTTGGAGGGCGTCAAAGGTCAGCTCTGGTAGGTCATGGGCAGGGCATGGTGTCCTCTCAACCCCCTCTCAGACGCCCCGTGCCCCTGACTCTGCTGCTGGGTCAGAGGCTGTCCCTGGGCACCCTGCTGTCCCTGGGCACCCTGCTGGCCATGGACGCCCCGCTGGCCTGTCCACAGGCTTCTGGGTCTGAGGCTGCCCCTGGGTGTCCTGCTGGCCTCCACGGCCCTCACCCCGCTGACTGCACGCTGCTGGGCCTGAGGCTGTTCCTGGACGCCATGCTGGCCTGTCAGCGTCCATAGCCCTGACCCCATTGCCGGCAGGCTTCTGGGTTTGAGGCTGCTGCTGGGCGCCCTGCTGGCCTGCATCACCGCCTACATTTATATGGTGGACCCTGTGCCCTTCGGGAGGCTGGTACCGCCCATGCTCAGCCGTGCAGCTGCCTGGAGGCTCCGGGCCCTGCTGGGCCCCTTCCTGCGCCTGGAGGTGGATGACTTCCTGCCCTTCTAGACCAGAGGCCACGGCCCAGCGAGGAGTCCAGCCATTGCCGCTGTCCCTAGTGCATATTAGCTGCTCTGACTCCTGCACACTGCTACCCCCCACCCCTGCCCAGCCCAAGTGGTCGGGAGAATGGAGGCGGGGTCTGTCCTGATGGCTGAGCCTCCAGGCCTATACAGTCGTGTTATTCAAGTCGTGTGAGCGTGTTTCCATGAAGATGCCCCCTTTTCCAGGGTGGGGTCCCGCCCCGCCCACTGCCCGCCTGAGCTCGGTCCCTCTCCAAGTGTGGGTGGGAAGCAGCACAGGAGAGTCTTATGACACACAGCAGAGGCAAGTGGGGGCCTATGGTGGACACAACCTGGGGGCCCAGGACATGGAACCCGATGCTGATGACCCCCTGCCTGACCTCACACCTCTCAGGCCCACCCTGCCCTCCCAACATGTCCCCCAGGCTCCTGTCCCTTCCCCCAACGCAGGGTCCCCACCCAGTCCCTGTCCCATCTCCTGGCACTGTCCAAAGGCTCAGAAGATGGGGGACCGTGTTGGTGGACAGAGCCATGGAGGTAGACACCAGAATTTTTATTTGGGGAGTTGGGTGGGGAGTGTGTGTGTGTGTGTGTGCATGAATACTCTTTAGAACAATATAGAACAACTTTATCGTTTGCTTGTCCCCAAATGGTAAGAGATTTGCTGTCTCCGGGGTGGGTGCCCAGCCTTGAGCCAGAACCTGAGCAGATGAGGCAGGGGCGCCCTGTGGGGAGAGGAGCTGACCCCAAGCCCTGCCCTGCCTTTTCTGCCCAGGGGCCCGGCTGCAGTCCTAGGTGAGCCCCTCAGATGCGCCATCTTCAGAGCTCAGGCCAGGCATCCAGAGGGGAAGGGCAGACAAGGGGCCAGCTGTGGAGTGCTGGGGTCGCCTCCCAGGCTGGCAGTCGGGCGGTTAAGGCATCTGTTCATGTGTTGGGGTCAGAGGACAGAGTGGCTGTGGACAACCTGAGAGCCCAGCCCACCTGACCGGGGGTCCAGGGAGGAAGTGGTCTTTCAGGGCAGGGAGGCTGGGTGAGAGATGAGACGCCCTAGGAGGACTGCATTGGGCCCCCCAAGAGGGGCATGGCACCCCAGCAGCAGGTGGGGACTTCCTGAGGTGGATGGACACGGGGTTGTGGGCCCTGCCAGGCTGGGGACGGGGAAGGGGCAGCTGGTGGCAGAGGAAGCCCCCAGCCCACACCCAGTCCTACCCAAGGCCCAGGGTGGCCTGGCCTCCTCGGTCCCAGCCGGGCCCGGGCTCCCTACTTGGTGTCCCGCTCCGGCCATGAGAAGCTGGGGAAAAGGCTGGAGGCGGCTGAGTGGAGGAGGCACACGGCCCCACGGGGAGGGCCCCCCACAGCCGAGCTCCAGGGCGCCCGCAGCGGGGCGCGGTCCTCCTGGTGGCCGAAGTGGCATAGGTGCAGACCGGGGGGCACCCTGGGCTGGCCACGCCGGCCCCATCCACGGCTGCAGGCGCTGATCCGCCCTCTGAGGGCCGCCGTGTCCCATGAGAGAGAAGCAGAAACACGGAGGTCAGAGCGGGGTTAGGGCTGCCCGAGCCAGGTCCAGCCTGGGACACCGGGGTGGGGGTGGGGGGGTGCACTCTCTGCCTCCCAGGCCCCCATCCCCACCAAGGCAGCCTCAGCTCTAAGAATGGCAGCCTCCCCACGTCCCTGCCACCCCACATTTCCTTCCCACTCCCCCAGCCTCCACAATCTGCCAGGAGGAGGTGGGAAGGCAGGCCCGGACCATCTCCAGCCAGCTACAGCTGCAAGGAAACAACCAGCAAGGGGCCTGGAGCCAGCGGGTGGCCCGCCGGAGCTCCACCCGGGCCCTTGAACCCGAGGGGCCCTGGGCACAACCCCTGGGAGGCTGCAACCCAGCCTTTCTCCACGGATCCTGCCAACTGCCTGGAGAGACACAGCAGGGCGCTGGAGCCCAGGTGGGTGGGCGGCCGCCTCTGTCACTGCCTGGCTGCGGCCTGAGCCCTCCCACCGTGCCATGGCCCCATCTCACCACAGCCTGGCCTTGACCAAGGAAAGCATCCGAGTGGCTTTTTCTTTTTTTAATAAAATTATAGATATATAGATGTAGATATAAAAACATAAAACAGACACAACGCAAGCGGACGCTGTCGTGTGCTTACTCTGGGGGCCCTGGCGCCCGAGAAGCGCTCGCCCCCCCAACGTGCTCTCTGCAGCCATGCCCACTGGCTCCGTGGGGCCGCAGGCCAGGCCCGGGCATGCCGCGGGGGCGCGAGCTGTCTGGACTGGCAGGGCAGCTGGGAGGGTTGGGATGGGACCCCTGGTCTCGGGAGTCTGGGGTGGCAGCGGGCCCCTCCCCAAGCCCGTGCCAGCCCCTTTGGTCCCCACAAGAGCATAGAGCAGCGGTTAAGGCTTCAATGGACGCGGTTCTGGGCAGCGGGCAGGACAGCGGCAGCCCGGCGGGGGCACACTGGACGTGGCAACGGCAGCTCAGCACACAGACACAGGGACACACGCCCGCCAGGCGGGGGCGAGACTGGACATACAGCACAGGGACCCTCGCCAACAGCTGGCCGTCTGTCTGTCTGGCCGTCTGTCCACCCATCAGAGCCCAGCACCGTCCTGGCGCCGGTGAGCTGAGGCCTGGGGCTGGACTCCCTGCTGGGCCATCAGGCTTTCCCAGCGCCACGTCTCCAGCAGGGTCCACAAAAAGGCAACGTGAAGAACAGTCGGGCGTGTGGACCCCACCCTGCAGGCTGCAGGCCACCAAGAGATGGTGGTGGTGGGGGGGGCCCCAGGCTCTCCATTCTCCCTGACCCGTCTGTAAGGACAATGGGACACACGAGACTGACAGCCTGAAGGAGGGGACGTGGATGGTGGCAACGGAGCCAAGACTGGTGGAGGAAGGAGGCCCCGGCCAGGGTGGGGTCCACAGATCATCCCCAATAGTGCACAGGTTTGCCTGAAGCCCCGGGGTCAGACTTCCTGGGGTCTAGCTCCCCGGTGAGCAGCTGGGATCGGGGGGTCAGCCTGGGCAGGTCCTCTCTCCTCCGGATGTGTCCACACCAGTCGGGGGCAGAGAAGTCGGGGTGGGCTGCTGCTCTGGGGTCCCGGTCCCCCGTGGCGCTGTAGCAGGCAGGCAGTGCTGTCCTCACACTGAGATCTCATACGTGGTCCCACCCACGCCGGACACCTTCTTAACGAGCGTGTGCCGGATGGGGCTGGCGGAGGGCCCTGGGGGGCCGGCAGCCGTCCCCAGGCGGGCCAGGCCTGGGGACTGACCGTTAAGCTTACTTGGGGGGTTCTTCAGCTGAGGGTGGTCCCTGCAACAAAACAAGCACACACACACAAAGACATGCACAGTGAACACGGGACCCTGGCAGGGACAGGCAGACGGGAGGCGACAGGACGCCAGATGGACACAGACACACCCCCAGGTGGCCCTGAGCAGCCACTGCCCTGAGTGTCAAGGTCTCACCCAGAAATGGGAGGGGCTGTGCTGAAACAGGACAGACAGACAGACAGATATCGCTCAGTCTGGCGTCTACAGAGAAGTGTGGCGTGACCAGTAAGGACCTCTCCACGACTTAGTGACCCTCCTGCCCGACTCTCCCAGCAGCCAAGCACCCTGCTGGTGTAGAAGACCAGGTGGGCCTGTCCTGGTACCGAGCTGAGGGTCCAGAGGTGACCCTGGCTGATCCCTGCCCCACCACCTCTTTGCAAACCGAGAGGGTGCCCTCTGGCCTGCCCAGCACTGACCAATAGGATCTCAACTATCAGGGGTTCCTGGAACCCCTGCTGCCCCCTCGGTGGGTTCTCGGCCTCCCTGCCTGTCATGCCCACCACAGCCACCTCCTCCCACAATACCACCGAGAAGGCCACACTTCAGCTGAGCCACTCAGAGCCCAGCCCTTCTTGGCCATGTGGCCTGGGCAGGGGCCTGATGGTCACATCCTCCCGTGCTCAGAATGGCCAGGTGGGGAGAAGCCAGGATGTACCCTGTGTGGTGCCGGGCACAGTCCTGACACTGAAGGCAAGGAGCCTGCCTTTCCCAGCCTCAGTTTCCCCTTCAGCAAGTCTCTACTTTCTAGGGTACACTCCACTAAGGGTGTGGCATCCGTAGGCCCAGCACCCGGCATCCCCAGCAACGGCAGAGCAGGCCCGTGAGAGCCCCAAACAGGCTGACCTGGACATGGACAGCCTGGCAGGGAGGACGGAGGCCATTATCAAGGGAGCAACAGCACCCCATCTCTACAGGGAGCTGTCCCAGCTCAGGAGAATGTGGGCCCTGGGCTCAAGACACACCCGGGGTGTCCCTGACATGCGGCCACCCTCTGCCCTCCGCCTGTCCGTCCCTCACTGGCAGCTCCCAGGCTGTCCCCAGGGGCAACACTGGACCTCCCAAGGCCACCCTCGAAGGCCAGGCTGGAGAGAACCACAGGCTGGGCTCCGGCCTGACGCCCACCCCCGGTCCCCGGCCCACCCACCTCTGCACAGCCAGCGCGGGCGGTGGCTCGGGGAGATCCGTGTGGATGAAGGACACAGCTTTGGAGCCTGCATAGGAGGGCGAGCGCGGGGTGCTGGGCGGGGAGGGTGGCCCGTGGCGAGCCGGCGACCGGTGGGGGCCGCTGGCCGGCCGGGGTCCCGGGGCGTGGCTGTTGGCCAGGTCGGCCTGCAGGGAGGAGGAGGACGTCCTCGGGGCCCGGCTCACCGAGCTGGACAGCGAGGACATGGAGGTCTGCAGGGCGGGGTTGCGGGCGCCCCCAAAGCCGGGCCCTGACACGAGGTTGTCCCGTGAGCTGTAGCGCATCGGGGGGCCACGGGGCCCCTCAGAGAGCGTGCTGGCCTGCTGCAGGCTGTAGGAGCTGGGGGCGTCGTAGACCCCCGAGTCGCCAAAAAGCGAGTCGGCCTGGGAGCGCAGCAGCCTCTCGCGCTCCTCCCTGTCCTTGTGCTCCTGGATGGATGCCATGATGGTCCGCGACAGGTTGTCGTAGCGCACGGGCGAGGGCTCCCGCGGCCGCGGGCCAAGGACGGGGCTGAAACTGCGGGGTGGGGGCCGAGGCGGCTCGGCCGCTGCTCCGGGGTGCAGGTAGGGTGAACGGTAGCCAGCGACCCCGGCCGAGGGGTGGGCTGGGCACGTGTGGCCCCCGGGCGAGCCGGGGTTCAGGAGGCTGTCGTAGGACAGGCTGCCGTTGCGGTTGGGCAGCGCGTGCGGGGTGAAGAGGGTGCGGTGGGGGGTGGGAGGCCCGCCCTCGGCCCGCAGGGGCTGCAGGGCCACGTGGTCCCCGCCACGCCGGCCTGCAGCCTTGAGGCTCAGGGTGCGCAGGGCGCCCGAGAAGGCATCGGCGGCGCTGAGCGGAGGGGACGGCGGGTAGGCCGCGTGCAGGCCCCCCGGTGGGTAGTCGGAGAGGTCCAGGCTGGGCTCAGATGTGAAGTCCAGGCTGTGGATGCTGTCATCCCCCAGCGTCAGGGAGTCTGGGCCTTGGACCTGCAGGGAGAGAGAGGGCACGTCCACTCGCCCTGCTCAGCCAGATCTCCCCTGCTCTTGCAGTCAGTGGGCACTCTAAGCTCATAAGGGGGAATGTGGTGGAAAGTGTGTGGCCTCTAGCCTGTCCACTCCCCCTGCAGCTCCCTGAGCTCAGGACAGGGCAGAGTGGACGGAGGCTGTGCCCTATCTGGAGGCCTGGTGGCTGTGTGCCCTGCAGCAGCTGTGCCCAGAATGCAGGAGTGACCACACCTGTCACCTGCCGCCCAGGGGCCTCCCAAGGACACGCTGCAGCCCTGTGGGCCAGCCTGGCAGCATGAGGACAGGGGATGGCCGTGCAGCAGGCCCAGGACCCCCTCCTCCCCAAGCTCACAGAAGCCACAGTGTATAGGGCGGGGTCCTGGCCTCTACGGGATTTAACACACACAGGCCTGGGTGTGGACCAAAATACAGGGAGTCTCAAATTCTAAGGGGACAGGGCTGCAGAGTGGGGGCAGATGTGGCCTCAGCACCCTTGGCCGAACAGCTTGACCCCTCTGTGGAAGCCAGGACGACCCCAGGAGGGAGATGACGGGAGAACTGGCCATGTAAGGCCCTGTCCACTGAGGTTCACCAGAGGGGCTGCACCCCTGCAGGTGCTGTGGATAGCAGCCGCCCACTCACTGGCCTTGAAGGCCATGGGACACACAGGGACAGACCGTTCCCTAAACACCCCCAGCACAGCCCACTGCTTCACAGGGCTCAGGACTCAGGAAAAAAAAAACGCTCTTTTGCAAACAGATCTCAAATTCTCCTGAAGTCTTCCCGTGGGCCCTGCAGCATGACTAGGGGTGGAATTTCAGGCATCTTGGCGCACGGGGCACGGGGGCAGCTGCCCACTAGGCCCAGACCCGATACTTGCCAAGGGGACGGCAGAGCTGGCTTGCTGGATCTGTCCACTCTCCACTGCCCATCACAGACCTACTAGTGGGGCCCCAGGGTCACCCACAGCACCTTAGCTGACCAGGGCCAGCCCCTCACCTGCTCTGCCTGGCCACAGAAGGGCGGCTTGGGACCTGTGGAGAAGGCAGGCCGGAACTTGTACATGGCGGGTGTCGGGGGACTGGTCCTCTGGACAGATAGGGCACTCTCTGGACAGATGGACAGTGGTCAGGCTGAGGTGGACGGGCTGCCATCCCACATGTCCCCGTGGTTTTTAGGTCATCCCCACCTCACCGGCACTGCCCCGGCGCGGCGTCTGCAGGTCACTGCTGAAGGTGCCGGCCTCCACCTTTGGGGGAAGGGGTGGCCCCAGGTCCATCGGCTTCTCGTCCAGTTGGTCTAGGCTACCCTTGGACTGGTGGGGGTTTGGGAGGGATCAGTGACAAGTGGAATGAGAGGGAGGGGTGGGCTTAATAGGGAGTCCTTCCCAAGAGCCACCCAGCTCCCTGCTCTGCCATCGTCCGAGTCGGCTGGCCCGCTGGCCACCCTGTATCAACAGGGCAGGACTCTGGTCTGCTGGGTTCTCAAGTCCGCGGGAGCAGATCACCAGGTCTGTGGACCCTCCAAGGCCCCTCTGGGTGGGATGGAAGTGCCAACCTTTCCAGAGCACTTAACTGTTTATACCCTTGGGGGCTCCCCCTACCTCTCCTAGGCTCCCTGCTCCCCACTCTGACCCCCAAACTGCTGGGCTCCCCACCTTGCTGTGGCCCAGGCTGGCCTTGAGCCCATTGTCACTGAGCTTGACCTTGAGCGGGGCGCCTCGCTCCAGGAGCTCTGGTCGCAGGAAGGGCGGCTTCAGGCTGATGGCAAGTGGCAGGCGGGGTGGCTCCACCACGTACCTGTGCGGGGCGGTGGTCAGCACCATGGCAGGCATGCTCGGGGGTCCCAGCTGCCCACCCACCCCACCTCTGCCCGGCAGAGGGCCCTGCCATCCTGCCTGCTGCCCTCACCGGGGAGCCAGAGGGCTGCAAAGCACGTGCTCCACGTTCCCGTAGCAGCCTCGGGTGAAGGGGTTCACACCCCCACGGAACTTCCCTGTCACCTGCAGACATGGGAGTCCTCAGCCAACCTGGCCCCTTGGAGCTGGGGGCCGGGGCAGAGGGCAGAAAGGGCAAGGATGCAGGGGGATTGGCATGGGGTGTCTGGCTGCATGGACACTACAGCCAGGCTTCCACAGAGGAGCAGGGCAGGCAAGGCCCCACCGCAGAGTCTTCTGGACAAACTACGTGCAGAGCCGGCCACCTGAGGGCAGTCCCGCGTCCCTCCCCTGCCCTCCCGGCTGGCTGGGGACACTTCCCAGCCTCATCAGCAGTCTGTACCTGCTCATTGGTGGTGCGCCCCCGCGTGACCAGCACCACGTGGAAGCCGGTGAGGCCAATGACAGGGATGAAGAAGAGGCCAGCCACACACATGACCACCATTCTGGACCGTTAAGTTGTCCAACAGTGCAAGGGAGACGTGGCAGAACCCACTGAGGGTGGGATGCTCGGAGCCCGCAGGTGGACAGCACCCCGCCCCACCCAGCTGGGGACCGGAGACCCACCCGCTGGGGACCCCCCACCCCAGCTTTGGCTGCCCTTGGAGGGGGGCAGGTGTCCCCCGGCCCAGCACTGGCTTCACAGTGGAGGGCGCGGGGGCCAAGGATACGTGATGGTGGTGTGGGCCGCGCCCAGGCCCTCAGCGTGGTTCAGCACGTAGACCAGACCGAAGGCCACCACGCCCACCATGTGTGCGCTGAGCGACAGCAGGAACAGGAAGAAGTAGCGGTAGTTGCGGCGGCCGATGCAGTTGTTGACCCAGGGGCAGTGGTGGTCAAAGTCCTGGCGGGGAGCAGGGCGTCACGTCGGGGTGGGCGGGGGGTGGGAGACGGAGGGACCCCAGCAGCCGGGGCCTGGAGCGGGGCGGGGGACAGGCGGTCACCTCCACGCAGTTGTCGCAGACGCTGCAGTGGGAGCAGCGGGGTGGACGGTAGAAGTGGCACGTGGCACACCACTTCATGCGGACCTGGATGCCCCTCACATCCACGTTCTTGTACAGGGGTGCCCGGAAGTCGTCCTCCTTGTCCTCGTCCTCGTCCGCTGCAGGCCAGGGCAAGAGGGCAAGGCAGAAAGGTGACTTCTTTGGCTGGGGGGCCTCTCTCTCTCTCTCTCTCTCACACACACACACAACACACACACACACACACACACACACACACACACACAAACACACACTCTGCTAGGTCACCCCCTAGGTCCTGAAGGAACTCCCGAGCTGGCCGGCCACTTAACACTCTGGCAGGAGGGACCAGCGGAGCTCCCAGGCGCAGGCCTACCTCGTGGGAAGACTCCAGGGTCCATGAAGGTGGCCATGCTGAAATTGGCCAGGACAAAGAGGAAGATGATGCCATTGTAGACAGGGACTGCTGGGGACACGGCATGTGTCAGCCACGGGCACCTGTGGTTGACAGCAAACCAGAAAGCCAGGCTGAGGTGGGGTGGACAGAGGCAAGGACACATGGGGGTGTGGACAAGAGAGTCAGGGACACGGGGGAGTGGACAGGAGAGGGAGGGACGCGGGGGAGTGGACTGGAGAGGGAGGGACACAGGGGAGTGGACAGGAGAAGTAGGGACACGGGGGAGTGGACAAAGAGGTAAGGGACACGGGGGAGTGGGCAGGAGAGGGAGGGACATGGGGAGTGGACAGGGGAGGGAGGGACACGGGGGAGAGGACAGGAGAGGGAGGGACACGGGGGAGTGGACAGGAGAGGGAGGGACACGGGGGAGTGGATAGGAGAGGAAGGGACATGGGGGAGTGGACAGGGGAAGGAGGGACATGGGGGAAGAGGACAGGAGAGGGAGGGACACGGGGGAGTGGACAGGGGAAGGAGGGACACGGGGGAGAGGACAGGAGAGGGAGGGACACAAGGGAGTATACATGGGAGGGAGGGACATGGGGGAGAGGACAGGAGAAGGAGGGACACGGGAGAGTGGACAGGGGAGGGAGGGACATGGGGGAGAGGACAGGAGAAGGAGGGACACGGGAGAGTGGACAGGGGAGGGAGGGACATGGGGGAGAGGACAGGAGAGGGAGGGACACGGGGGAGAGGACAGGAGAGGGAGGGACATGGGGGAGTGGACAGGAGAGGGAGAGACCCGGGGGAGAGGACAGGAGAGAAAGGGACATGGAGGAATGGATAGGAGAGGCAGGGACACAAAGAATGTAGAAGGACTTGGCGTCAGCTCTGCAGCTGTCATGGGAGTCTGGGGCCACCGTGGCCCCACCGAGAGCCCTGCCTCGCTGGCCGCCAGCATGAGCTTAGCCACTGCCGGCGGCCTTTGTGCCTGACCTGAGCAGCCACTCTGTGAGGCCACAGTCAGTACCTCAGCTCACAGGTGAGGAAAGTGAGGCCTGGAGACCATTCAGGCAGGGTGCCCACAGCCATGCCACCTCCCTGAACTCTCCAGTCGAGCTGTGAGTGAGTCCTGGCACTGGAGGGGCAGGCTGGTGGCCCGCCTGGGCTGTCAGCGCCAGGCCTCAGCTCAGCAGGGGCTCCTCTCCAGGAAGATCCTGAGGTGCCCTGGGAGCCCCCTCACAATCCTTGTTCAGTATACAAACGGGAATGTCATCCTGTCGACCCTGAAGGACCTTGACCGCTGGGCACGTCCCTATCAGCCCCTCGCTCTCGACTGATTCTCCTTCCTCTCCTGAAGCCGGAGAGCAGCAACCAGTGACTCTGAAGGAGCTCACCCTCCCCTTTCACATCCTCATATCACCCGGTTCCAATGCGCTCCCTCTTCCAGGAAGCCCTCCTGGACTCCCAGGCATCCTGGTCCACCGCCCATACCGGCCTGGCACAGCTCCCCGGGAGGGTCCGTGCAGCTCTGCCCATTGCTCACACCCTAATATATCTGCCCGGCTGAAGGCTGTGGGGGTCCGTTCCCCGCTCACATAACCACGGCGGCCCCACGGTGGGGACACGTCCGGCACATGTTGTCCACGCTGGTGCCTATGCCTGCCTTGGCCAGGAGCCAGCCGTGTGCCCGAGCAACCAGGCTCCACGCAGCAGAACTTCGCTATTTTTAGTGGGAAACAAGAGACTATTTAAAGATTCCGCTTCCCACGGCAGCACACCCGGCGGGGCCGGAGCCAAGCCCGCCCTCCTCTTTCCCGGGGCCTAGACCCAGGAGGTGAGCACACACGCGGGGCTGCGGGGCTTTACACACACACACACACACACACACACACACACACACACACACACACACATATACACGAGTCCCCTCTGCCAGGGCGGTCACCGCCTTCTGCACCCCCTTGGAGAGCCCACGGCAGGCACCTGTCCTCGCTTCCTGTCCCGAGGGCCTTGTATACAGACGATGCTCAGAACATGCTCGAGGCAACTCAATAAGGAGAGACTGGGAGCCCTGGGGTGGCCCGCGTGGCAAGGTGAGGACACGCACCTGGCAGAAGGAAAGACACCCCAAGAGAGGACTGACCCCAGCTGGGGGCGGGGATGAGTGTCCTACAAGCTCTTCTGGGAAGGATGGTCACAAAAAATAAGGCTGTGGGCCACGCACAGAGACACCGCTAAACCTTTCAGGATCGGGACTAACAGCCACAGGCTGCCCTGGTGGAGGGTGGGACGGACAACCATGGGCAGCTGGAGGAAGGACACACGGTGGGAGAAGTGGCCAGCATGACACCGCTCTTAGCTTTTCACGTGCAACATGAGACTGGTCCTGTATCCACTCAGACCTGGCCCTCTTGTCCACACTGTGCAGATGAGAGGCGGAGACTCTGAGGCCTTGGACGTGTGTTCGAGGCCGGAACTAGACCCTTCCCCTGCTGCCTTCACGCCCCGGCTTCAGGTAGACCCCTTGGGCCCTGCAGCTGAGGGAACCAGACTGTTTGCAAACCTCTCTACCTCAAAGGTGATCAGAGCTCTCCCCAGGCCACTCGTGTGCCTCAAGTAAGTGGGAACTGAGGCCCCGCAGACTACTGGTTCTACACCCTAGACCTTCCCTGAGTGTGAGGAGGAGGACCCCTGAGAAGCCGAGGGCCACCCCGAGCAGAGACTGAGCAGGGGTAGAAACAGGGCTGAGAGTGGCAGAGGGAGGGGACCTGTCTGTGTGTGACCACGTGTCACATGCGCGAACATGTCTCCCCGTGCATTTGCATCACTGTGTACAAGGTTGCATGGCTGTGTACGTGTATGTGTTCCACTTGTGGATAAGAGTGTGCATTCGTACATGTATACCTCCTGTGTCCACGTGTGTATGCGCGTGTGCACCTGCACTTACAGTTCTCGTGCACGCCTCCTTGAACACCGTGTTCCCGGGCATGCACATGTATGTATGTGAGCATGTGTGTGCCACGGTGCGTGTGTGTGTCCAAGTGCGTGCACATGGCTGTGTGTGTGTCCCTGTGTATACTCGTGTTCATGCGTGCACGTCTCTGCATGTTCACACAAGCGTGTGCTACATACAATCATACGTATATGGGTGCGTGGCTCTGTGTGTCCCTGTGTGTATTCATGTTCACATGTAAGTCTGCATTTTCGTGTGTGTGTGTGTGTGTGTGTGTGTGTGTGTGTGTGTACCTGTGTCCACTCCGAACTTACCCCCTTTCTTTTTCCCAAGGCAACTGAATTCTGGGCCCCAATAAGGGTGGCTAGCACTCCAGTTCCAGCGCTGGGGGACCCCTACCAGAGAGCCCTAATATAATATGACATCTTTGGGGCAGTCTAAGAGGCCACCAGAGAGGGAAGGGGGTCATACAGAGGGGAAGCACCTGATCCTGGGCTTGGGGGGCTGGAGGTAGGGGACAGCGGCTCAGGCTCCCGTCAGAAAACCTGCAGCCCCTGCCCCGTACCTGGTGCCCACCGTGGACAAAGGCCACCCAGTGCCACAAAGCAGATCTCGAGTGGTCACCATGCGCATTTCCAAACCTGGCCTGTTGCTGATGTCCAACTGCTGCCCTCCTTTCCCGAGGGCATCTCGCTCAGAGCTGGGGTCCAGCTCTTCTGGCTAGAGGGGTGAAGCCAGCCTCAGGAAAGGGCGGTAAACAGAAGATGCCTGCCAGCTGTCCCAACTCAGGCTGTCACATCCAGGTTGTCAGAGAAATGAGGCCGTGCGTCCTCTGACCTGGCAGTGGGGCACCTGGCGGTGGGGCACCTGGCCTGCATGGTGTGCCCTCCATCTGAGGAGCTCTTCTGGGCAGCTACAGCCTTCTGCCATAACCCGCTGGGCCAACCCACACTGCAGGCCAGAGGCGGACTGGGGTTGGGCCTGACAAGCTGAGGAGTGCAGGCCTGTGGCCCCTGGCCTTCCCCTCCCTCCCTCCCTCTCCGATGTCAGGGCCCTGGGCCAGGACACGTGCCACAGGCGTGGGCCCCACCCAGGTCTCGGCCCTGCATCCCGCCTGGGCTGGCAGGGAGACACCACCCAGCTGCTGGGAGGGGTGGGTTCCGCGGGGCAGCATGTGTGCGGCAGCTAAATGTGGAGTGGAAAGTTTTAAATCAGCCGTTTTCATTTAAAACGGGCTTTTTATTAACACAGTGTTTGAGGGTGGCACTCGCCTTCAGGGGCTGCCCGGAGGGATCCCTGTCCCTTGTCCCGGCCTAGCTGGAGAAATTGGTGCTGCAGCTGCACGGTCACCCCTCGCCTCAGAGGGCTCAGCACACCATCAGACCCCTAGGCAGAACCTGGGCAAGTGGGGAAACTGAGGCTCAAAAAGGCCATACACAGCCAGGCCTCGCTGGAAGAGTCCCTGAGCTCCATATAGTCCAGTTCACAGCTCTCTGATGGTCCCTGGGGTTAGGGAGCACCTGGAAACCAGCCACACCATCCTAGGCAGTGGCCAGCGAGTAAAACAGCTTAGCCTGATGTTCACACCAGGGTCCCCATCATTCTGAGGGGCTCTGTGAGTTGAGGGGACAAGGCACAGAATCAGCCTGGGGACCCTCAGACTTTACCCAACACCGGGTCCAGGCTGATAGTATACACAGTAGGGGGGGGCACGTATTTGGGGCCCAGATTGACACTAACCCCACCAGGAACCCAGGAAGGCTTCCAGGAGGAGGCGGCTCTCTGGGCACCAGCCTGGCAGCATGCACACACATCCCGAGTACATGGAGTGAAAGCAGGAACAATAGAGGCCTTTTGGGGAATCCTTCTCATGTGTCCAGCCTCATCAAATCCCCTGTCCCCTGCAAAACCCTGTGACAATATACTCCTCAACACACAGAAGAGAGCTGGGGAAAATCAACCTGTAAGCACGGGAAGACAGGTGATGAGACCTGGAAACTCTGGGGACAGGGTCGGGAACGGTGGCAGGTTCCAACTTGGTGTAGCAGTGAACACCCTTCCAGCATCCAGCCCGGCCACAGAAGGTGGCTGCCGGGGTGAGAAGAGGCTCACTCCAAGCAGAAGGTCTGAGACCGACAGCCTGAACTGACCTAGGACCTATAGGTGTGCCCAGTACCCACAGACTCGATAGCCACAGGCAGGAGAGCCCCATTCTCTGAGCCGCCTCACAAGATAAGAGTGGAAGCAAATTAGGATCCCCAATAACCATCTGACCAGCAGAACTTGGGAGGGGGCCTAGAGAGCTGGCCTGGCTGGGAAGCCCTGGATTGAGGGATTAGCGGGACTCTGAGGGTTTGCTGCATGGCTGCTGCGCACCGGAGCCCCAGCTCCCTAGAATGTGCCAGCCAAGGTCAAAAGCAGGTGCACACAGTCTGGGTGACACTGAAGCCGAGGAAGGACTCCTGCAGCCCCTGGGGAACCCCTGTGCCTCACCAGCACTGCTGTTCTGGAACCCAGACCCTCCACCTTCCCGGCACACACAGAGAACTGGCACTTGGCAAACGGGAAGCTAACCTTGGCAGCCACTATCGGGGTAAATTCGGAGGGAACACCCACATCTCAGGCCCCATGTTTTTAAACATCACAAGACACAAGAAGGGCAAGTGGGCCATCAGAAGCTCAGCGAAGGAGGAGGGGGCCGCCTACGGGATACCCATCTGGGGGCAGAGTCGGCACCAACCTCTTAAAAAGTCTCATCAGTTCTCAACAGACAACCTGAGTTACTTTTAAAGTCGGGGAGGGAAAGAAACAGCCCAAAGAGAACAGTACCGAGACACCCCCTCACTGAGACTCCCACACTCCTCATCCATTCACCGGGGAAATCGAGGCCAGCGTGGCAGGGTCAGCATTGGGTGGGACCTTCTCCCCCAGACGCCCCGAAAGGACACATCCCCCTTAGCCTACACCCCCAGGACAGCTCCCCAGCCAGGTCCATCCACCCACCGGCCTTCTCTTCCCCCGCCTCCTGCGGCCCAGCAGCATCTGTGTGCAGAGGAACACGCCTGCTCGCCCAAGCCAGAAATAAGCCCGTCCACACAGGCCTTTTTTAAACCCGGCCCGCAGGCTCCAGCACCCGCCCCGGGGGCTCCTACCCCATGCAGACAGGGCTTCTCCTGCCCCAACAGGTGCCCTGTCCTGACTGGCTCCTATTAAAGTGTAAGGAGCGGACCCACCGTCAGCCCTGGCTGCTCCCAGCCTACTCGCCATCAAGCCCGCTGACTCAGGACAGCACTCTCCAAGATGGGGTCCCCAGAAAGTCTTACCAACTGGCCGAAGCTGTCATCCTAGCCGCTGTGACCCCTGGGCTCTGCCTCAGATGTTTGGAAGGAAGAGCCACATGACAAAATCTGGGGCCCCTTCTCCCACCCAAGGGAGCCTTGGGGCAGGTGAACCCCACAGAAAGAGGTCCATGTTGTCCACACAGCACCCTGCCCTGCCAGTCTGCCCACTGTTCAGGTATGAATGTCAAGGCCGGATGTCCCCGTCTGCCTTCTATCCTACTTCTGATTCCCAGCTGTGCAAAGCTCTGTCCCAGGTGTGGCCTGGCCCTGCCCGCTGTTGACCTCACCGGATGGTCCATCCAGCTTTGCCCACGACTGAGGGCAGGCAAGTGGCGGCCAGGGCAGGCAAGTGGCTGCCAGATCAGGCCAGACCAGGCCACACCTATATGGGATAACAGCTGGGCTCTGGCCCAGGCCCCATGGCCCAAAGGGCTCCTGGTGGGGTGAGGTGGGCTGGTAGCTCTGGGCGCCCACGTTCCTCCGTGGCCCCCATCGGGTTTCGGGAGTTACAGCCACACCCTGGCGGCCTCCGCACACGCTCCCGTCTGGCCAGCGCCTCGCACTCAGGACCTGTGTACCTGGCACGCTGAGAGGTGCCCACCACGCACGGCTGTAAACCCACCCGGCCTTGCTGGCTCTGAGGCTGCTGGCAGGGCGCACTGGGAGCCCAGCCTCTCAGCCCTCCCACAATGGGGACGCAGGACCCGATCGCTAAGCCCGTCGCCCACCCGGATGTGCCCGCCGTGGCCCGGCGGGGACTCACGTGAACACGAAGAACAAGGTGCTGGAGCCGACCAGCAGCGCGGCGGCCGTGGCCACCGGGATGTATTTGGCGGGTTTGAGGCGCGTCCCGGGGCTGCGGGGCATCCTGGGC